CCTCTGTATTGATTTCATTTTCTGAATGAGCTACCCATATCTAAAATAAAATTGGATACAAGCAAAAGGAGATTTAATGAAATGCTGAAATACTGCAAGGTATTTTTACTGTCTACCTTTTCTGTGTTTGGACCCATAACTGCCAAGCTTTTCAACAAGTAGATATGATGATAGCTTTTAGTGGACCATCTTCTGTTGATAAGAGTTTACAACCTTTCAGGTTTCCACAAAATGATCCTTCAGGCAGAGCCAAGATTCTCACAGATAATACTGGTAAGAGTCTCAAAGTGCTCCAGGAAGGACATGCCTTTATTAAATGCACAGTCTTCCCAAATGCTGCTCAGTACATAGGGCAAGCACATACTCTGCATCAGACAATCAGGTACGAATGCCCAGCTATCATATTGTTCTAACTCTTCAGAGCATGTGAAGATGTGTTGTTAGCCATTTCGTTTCCCTACAAGCAGCCTCCACAAACACAGAAGAAGATATGGAGAGGGGTTTTCCATTAACACGAAGATACAACAAGAATTAGAACACAAAGGAAGAACTTATATTTAAAGATTACTCTAGACTTTGTTTTTGATGGTCACTGCACTAAGGCCATGGCATAGTTTGAATTCAGGTGCCTAAAACTACTGTTAATTTTTGGTAAGGATAACTACCCTGCCTCTCAGAGGAATGAATATCTGTGATTGAGCTAGGAACTGAACCAACACAGCAAACAAACCACATTGCCAGACAATAGGATTAGTTAACCAGCTCTCACATTTATGGATAACAGTTCCTCCAGCTCCCGAGCCTTTAGAAAAAGATACAATTTATTTCAACTTAAAAGAAAAATAATCTTTCTGTTCCATAGAACAAGGCATAAGCTTGCTTTGTTTATGTTATGATACTGATATCCATTTATACTTGTTGAATCTGATGAAGTGGCCTTTATGCCACGAAAATTCACACAGACGTCTTCCTTTTTTCTCCCCACAGCCACAAATGAACACACCTCAGGAATACATATTTGAATTATGTCACACTAGTTCCATTACATTACTTCCCATAAACGGTTCACAGAACTTTGAGGACAGCTTCCCTAAATCACCAAATGTTATACCAGATCTTCTTTCAGTACAACAAATCTACATGGTATCATGCAGAGGCTGCTGACATACCTCCACAAGATTCTGCTTTTATTCAGCACCAGTTAGCCAATAACTAAAAGTATTTAAAAGGGAAAAAATCAGCACTGAAGAGCAAAGCCCTTAATCCCGTTTTTGTACACAGGCATTCCCACACACAAAAAGCAACTTGTCAGTCAAATAGATACCACCCAACATGCCTGACAGAATGGGCCTGTTCCAATCTGGGATTTTGATTTTTTTAAATCTCAATGAGAAATCCTACATTAGACAGCAGGCTGAGCCAAGCCTTCCTTAGCTCAGCTTAAGATGATTAAAACCATGCTACCCAGGAAAAGAGAGATAATATGAAACGCCAGAGGTTTTACCAGGGCACAAAACGAGGGAACTGATATGCAAAACCACTGTGAACAATTTAAATTGTATCTGAGTTTCAGCTACCCAACTGCAAATACTGTAATCATTCTGCATGCTGCAGGCAAGAGAGCCTGCTGTAATGGAAATAGCTCTAAAACTATAAGACAAAGCCATATACTTAAGGAACATGTACATATATCTCTCACACAAACATGTATGTGCATATATCTCATCCATAAATGGAGAGAAGGAAGCAATGCAGCAAGAGCAGTGTCAAAAAGTAAGAGTGTTCCTATTCAAACTTAACACTGCTTTCATATGATGCAGCATCCCTCAACTATTCCTTTAAAAACTCTCTCTGTGATTTATCTCCTAAACCTCATTGCCAACTGCGATGCTTTAAGTACATGTGCTATCCTTGACTCTCCCTTCCTTTTTCTAAGAAATAGTAAGGCGCCATCTACATCAATGGTGCTATAAAAAGAAACCAATACATGCATACAATAAAAAGCATTGTATGGAAAAATATTTCATATTTGGAAGCACTTTGAGAATCTTATTTTGTTATAGAAATATAATTCTGACAAACAAATTCTTCGAAATTCTTCTTCCTGACCTACTTCAGTAACCTGAATTTGCTTTCTAATCTTGGGTCATTTGAATGAGGCTGGTCCTTGAAAGAAATTCAGATGGGATTGTGTTTTCCTTCTTCTGTAGTATTGCTACTTTTAAGTATTAAATTGTACATTGATGTGAGCCCAGGAGAGCAGAAGGTTGCATTATAGCTCACATGTCAAAGGGCATTAGCCAATAGTCATACATCAACTTCCAGTAACCAGTCATGCCTCCTTTTTCTTCCAGAAAGTATGTATTAATGAAAGCCAAAGCAATGAAGGGGCAAACCAAGATCTGTATTCTCTTCTATTTGTTTTCAGCTGCAGTATCAGCTGAGATACATTCATATGCATCCAAGTTATACGGCACATTATGATTACATCTTCCACCTCCACTATCTCACATAAAACATCATAATCATTCCTCCTGGACCAATCCTCTACTGATTGTACCACACTCTAATAATCAGTCACTTCAACAAGTGTTTTTGAAGCTTCAGAATACAGGATCAAGCCCATGGAGGTAATGCTACTATCAGTACTGAAAAAGAGCTCATAAGAAAATACATATAACAATGTGTTTTCCAACAATTACTTAGTAGGATTTACACTGGAATTTGTACAACGGGGTAACATCGCTTTTTTTTTTTTTTTTGGTCTGGGAGAATGACGATGTTTATAAATTGTACAGCCTACACACTCTCTGTACTGTAGCCTCAATTTAGATATTCACAACTACAATGAAATATTTTCCTTTTAAGTTGAAAGTATTGTTACGAATTCAGTATCTGAGAAATACTGAAACAAGAACTGGGGTGATTTCTGTTATTCATACAGAGAGACTGGGGACTTCTATAGGACTGCTTGCTTGAGTAAGGATTACTCATGCACACAGGAAGACTACAAGATCAAACTCTAAACATTTAGCATTGAACATACATAAGCATCTTGTCTACCTCACCCCAGGTAGAAACCTTGTGAACTTTATATCCCAGTGGAATCTGTATGAATGTTTGCCAGCAAAAGAGCCCAGCAGCTTCGACCGACAGCTCAGACTCAGAGGTCAATAGTATGTGGAGGCTCAGAAGGATGGATGCAACGTTGCACCGCAATCTGGAAGAGTCTCTGTGTTGTAGTAGGTAAAATAATAACAATTCAGGAAACTGGGGGGGGGGGCAGCTTCAGCAAGCACTGCATACCATCACATTTAACTACAATGTTTCCAAAAAAGGACTAAAAATGGTCTGTGGGGGAAAGAGCACACACTGCATCCTGAGATGACGAGTTTATGAGCATGCATTCAGTGACAGGTATGTCCTTCAGCAGGTCATATACATTTAAAATCTTGTGTCCAATCACACCATTAAGAACATTTATAATACCACAAGGGAATGACAGTAAATTAAGTCCTATGTGGAGCTTGAATCCAACATATTCCAACAAAATATCAACCAGAAGCAAAGGTCAACATTACTAATATTGACTCAAGTAATCGAGACATTTCCCCATTTAAAGAAGCAGATGTCAAACAGATACACTGCCAAGCTTCATGTGAAATAACAAAAACATTACAGATTTGTACATCTCACACTGTTACCATTCCTCAGAAAGATTTAGGGGAAGAGATTTTGAATTAGTGCGACATTAATGAGAACCTAACAGCAAAGAGTTTACTGCTGAAAGATATTTGGCATTTTGCCTTTCACCTCCCCATCTCATAAGATACTTTTTTAAGCTTCCGTCTCAGCAGACTCGAATCAAAGTGTGTCAGATAAGCATCACAATGGTAACGATGATGATGATAATAAAGCATCCTTGAATAGCCTGTAGCTTTACGACTTCTAATGCAATATTAGTTTGTCCTAAAATTTCTGTAGGTATTCCGACATTGCAGGGAATGTGTGAGTGCACCTGTAAACCATAAAACCAATATCTGCTTCTCTCTCTTGGCTGAAATTTAAAATTTCAGCATTTCTTTAACCTAGAAATGGTTCTATTTATGAACTTAGGGCAATCTTTATTCCACTTTTACAAATGATGTATCCACACCAAATGTTTTTAAACAAAGAGGGGAAGGAAGGAGGATGAAGACAGTGATAACTCCCAAGAAACAAGAGTTTAAAAATAGTAACTTGATGGGGTAGTTACTACTGCCAACACTTATCCTGAAATCACCCACATAAATCTAGGAATAAATAATATAGCACAATTAAAACATGACTATTTCATCCTATTTAAAAACTTTCTATATAGGAAGAGTTTCCCAGTAAACTACTGAAATGATTAATATATTTTCTCATGAGTTTTTTTTAAAAAATAATAGCAGCAGCAGCCTTTTACACCAGTTACGGGAAGGTTTCTCCGGTCCATCCTTTGCTGTTTTAAAATGTTAAGACAAGACGAGAAAGTATGTTTGAATGCCATTAGGCATTAACACATTTGCAACTTCGTCCCACTACTTTGGCAAGGAGCACGAGCTGTGCAGGATTTGGATCCACGACTGCACCTTTTGCTGCTTAAACTGCGTCGTCGTGTGTTACTCTGAACAGACTTCACTGTGCCTGTACACCGGGGAGAAGGGGAGCTGGCGGAAGACAGAACCTCCGGGCCGGCTGATTCCCCTCACCCTCGACTGGGGCGAAGAGCCAACGACCGAGCAGCTCCAAGCCATGTAAATAGGGGTGTAAAGAAGTATCGCAGGAGGTATATGGAGGGGGGGAACGGCGAAAAAAGCGCTCGCCACCAGAAGCAACCCAAATCAAGTTGCGAGAAAAGCGCCCGCCAGGCAGCCCGAAGCTGCACTTCCCTCTGCTGCTGCTGCTGCCGCCGCCGCCGCTGGGTGCCTGCCCCGGAAGGTGGCGGGAGGGGGGGGGGGTGAAGGGCTCTTACTTACGTGTACTGCTGGGGGAAGCTGAAGCCATCCGCGGCGGGAGTCGAGAGGACGAGGCACAGGATTATTTGGCTGCACAGAGCCGGGACAAGGAAAGATGCGCCGCAGGTCTGAGCCGAGATCGCCATTTTTCCATTAAAAATTCAGCCGCGGCCCCAACTCGCTCTCTTTCTCTCTCTCCCCGGTGGTGGCGCTGGGCTGTCGAGGCACCCCCTGCTTGGAATGAGATCCTAGAAAGGGGTTCGGGGGTGGGGGGGAGGGTGGCTGGTGCCGCTGGGTATCCTCCAGCTACTCCAGAGGAGCGAGTCAGGCAGCCAGTCAGCGAGGCAAGCGGCGGCAGGCTCTCTTCCCGCACTCAAATGCCACGAGCGGGGCAGTTCTCAGGAGGATAAGGAGAGCGGGGAGGGGGGAGAGACTGAGCAGCCGGGCTCGGGCTCCCTGCACAGCCGGGCAGGTTGCTGCTACCGCTGCTCAGTCCGGCCCTCACGCGGCGAGCTCCGCTCTGCCGTGACAAACACTGAGCGAATACAAACTGCTACTTTCCCTCAAATAGGCGGCCAACCTTCCCAGCCTCCTCCCCTCGCATCCCTCCTCCCCCCGTGCTCGCTGTATCCCTCTCCGTTCCCCCCTCTGCTCGGAACGTTCTCCATCCTCGGCAGCCGCCACAGCGCATGCTCCCCAGACAGCCGGCTGGCGAACGAGCGCTCTCAGTCGCTGGACCATTTAGCTGGGCCTGGGCGGCCAGCGCTGTGCGCGCCGCGCAACTCTCGCGCCTCTCTCACGGGCTACTGCACTTTTGCCACCTGGGCAGGTGTGGCGGGTTGCAACGCAGCTGGGGCGGCCACACTGAGGGGGGCTAAGGGTGAGTCCTCCTCACCCTCCTAGAGAAGCAAAATCCCACCCCCCCAAATAGATTCTGCCTCTCTTATGCTAGGGCTACCAGTTCTGGGTTGGAAAATACCTGGAGACTTTGGGGGTGGATCCGGGAGAGGGTGGGGTTGGAGGGACCACAGTGGGATACAATGCCATAGAGTCTACCCTTCAAAGCATCCATTTTCTCCAGAGGAATTGAACTCTGTCAGCTGATCAGTTGTAAAAGCGGGAGATCTCCAGGCCCCTCCTGGAGGCTGGCAACCGTAGAGTGTGTTCCCCATTTATCTCAGTTGAGCTGTTCTAATGCAGGCACCCTGCTTGACTCTGCACCCCTGCCCAACTTGCCTTTCCACTTCACCTGCATGTCACACCTGCAGACCAAATTGACTTCTCAGGTGCCAGGACCTTCTGGCTACCATTATAGGAAATTAATGGTAGATATGTTCAGCATTTAATGATCAATAGGAAAGCATACACTAGCAGCTGCCCTGAGCCCTCACATTTTAGGGGCATTCCAGTGATAACCGAGTTTTAAGTACTCTTGCCAAATTTAGATATCCCTGGGACTGTGCATGATAGGCCTAGATATTGATCCATTTAATTTTAATGTTTCAGTCCAGTTCAAAACTGAGCATTAACCAAACATGGGTAGTCACTATGCATAACCTCCCCCCCATAAAACTAAAATTGTGTCACAATATCCCCACCAATCTCAAAGGTGCCCCTTTGTGGTAGCTCATAGTGCATCCACAAGCAAGTAACTGGTTTCCATAGGATTCAACAGGCACCTGATCCCTATCAGGTAGAATGCACAATATTTTATGTACTAGAACTATGTATTGTATGTAGAACTATGTAAATGGTCAGAATGTTGTGATCCAATCCAGCCCTCATGAGGTAGTTTGTTGAGCAAAGCAAGAGAAGAAACAGAACATATACTCTATTTAGTACATTCCAGCAACTGCTATACATGAAGGAACCTTCTATTTACATGGAAACAAGTCCTACTGATTTCAGTGAGGCTTATTTCAAAGCCACCCAGGAATCATTATTGGTTGAATGTGTGGGATTTTAAAAAAATAATAGATGTACATACTTGGGACAAAAGCTGTACGTAATGCTGAAATTGGTCCAAATGGCCTGCTTTGCAAGAGAGAATGGCAAATAACATGAAACTTCATCATATTTGAACAGATACATCCTACATTGGATGCTCTAGTCCTGAGCAGCATTTGGTAACTCAATTAATTAGATGCAGTGGCAGGATTATCTGCATGGGTACATAATGCTAAAACACTGTGGAGGAGAAAGGTAGGAAAGGGACAGAGAAAGGACTGACCGGGCCATAAATGTGTGTGTGTGTTAAGTGCCGTCAAACCACTTCTGACTTATGGCAACCCTATATGAATCAGTGACCTCCAAAACATCCTAGTGTTAACAATCTTGCCAACTGAGGGCCACGGGTTCCTTGATTGAGTCAATCCACCTCATGTTGGGTCTTCCTATTAAACTGCTGCCTTCAACTTTTCCTGCTGCCTTCAGCTTTTCCTAGTATTATTGGCTTTTCCAGTGACTCTTGTCTTCTCATAATGTGACCAACATATGATAGCCTCAGTTTGGTCATTTTAGCTTCTAGGAAGAGTTCAAGCTTGATTTTATCTACAGCCCACGTATTTGTCTTTTTGGCAGTCCATGGAATCTGCAAAAGGTAGGTATTGAACAAAACTACAGTGTATTCTTTAGGACTAGTAGCATTTCTAACACGAAAACAAATTTAGGTGTTCAGTTCAAAATTAATCCCATAGTGGGGGAAAATAGCAATATTTAATAGGTAAAGTTGGAAGATATGAGATTTTAGTCTGGCCTACTAAATAAACCCCCTGCTCAAAGGGCAAATGGTGCCACCTCAATGGTCTTTCCTATAAATTGCCATAGTCAAGTCTTACCTCTGGAAATATGTGCCTAGTTTCTTAATATTCATTTCTCTTGCAGGAGCCCAGCTGAAACAGGATGGTGGTAAATCAAAAAATAAAAGCAGATGGTTAAAAAAGAATCATGGATCTCAATTATTTACATATTCAAAATATTTATATAGCACTTTTCTGTCATACTCAAAACTTAGGCAAATATACCTGGCACATAAAACTCAGTAATGAAAGTGCTAGTTGAACATCCCTAGGGAGATTACCATCACAGCTGAAAAAGTTTCTGTCTCCAGTATCTATTCACCTAATTTCTGAAGACAGGGCACCCATAGGAGGTCCTCTGAAGATAACCTTAAAGATCAGGGAGATTCATATGACAGCCAGCAATCCTTGATTCGAAGCCATTTTGATTTTGCTCAAAGCTCTACTGGATTCCTGAAATATGGCTTCTTCTCAGGAAGTCTTGAATGTGCCTCTTGGCAGTTTTAGGGTTAACTCTGTGACAAAGAAATAATTTATAATAACCCTTGAGTCTTATTTGTAATACTACAATTAGAAATCTTGTACATGATACTAAACTAGGAGTAAGGCCCGTTGTGGAAAGAAATACAACGAACTCTAGAAGGAAGCTCCAGGTGAGTGTAGCTGTGGCTGGTGGGGTGGCATAGGGAAGCGAAAAATGGAGGAAGGCAAGCCATGTTTATTTCCTTCTGCTTTGCTATGGCAGGGCTGTCTCAAGTAATTTTGCTGCCCCAAGTGGGTAGTATGGGAGGACAGCCTCATGGTAACAGGTATGGTTCCCTCCACCCCTGACTTATGTTGATTTGGGGTTATGCAGTGGCAGCTAAGGTAGAGAAGCACCTCCTCCTATGCCATGTCTTCTGGGTTCCAAGGGTCTGGAAAGTAGTTCCATAGCCAGTTACAGGGTTACCAACTCTGGGACAGGAAATACCTTTAGATTTGAGGGATAGAGCCTGGGGAGGGCAGGATTTTGGGCGGGGAGGGACCTCAACAGGGTATAATGGAATTTTAATGTATTTTTATATATGTTGTTAGCCGCCCTGAGCCTGCCGAATGGCGGGGAGGGTGGGATATAAATGTAAATATAAATACATTAAAAAAATAAAATAATGCCATAGAGTCCATTAGCCAAAGTAGCCATTGTCTCCAGGAGAACTGATCTTGGTCATCTGGACATAGTTGTAATAGCTGGAGATCTGATCTCCAGGTGCTGCCTGGAGGTTGGCTTATGTTACTTTGGGGCTATGCAGTGGCAGCTAAGGTAGAAAAGCACCTCCTCCTATGCCATGTCTTCTGGGTTCCCAGAGTCTGGAAAACAGTTCCATAGCCAGTTACAGGGTTGCCAACTCTGGGTTGGGAAATACCTGTAGGTTTGAGTGGTAGAGCCTGGGGAGGGCAGGGTTTGGGGTGGGGAGGGATCTCAACAGGGTATAATACCATAAAGTCCACTGGCTAGAGCAGCCATTGTCTCCAGGAGAACTGATCTTGGTCATCTTGACATCAGTTTCAATAGCTGGAGATCTCCAGGTGCTGCCTGGAGGTTGGCTTATGTTACTTTGGGGCTATGCAGTGGCAGCTAAGGTAGAAAAGCACCTCCTCCTATGCCATGTTTTCTGGTTTCCAAGGATCTGGAAAGTGGCTCCATAGCCAGTTACAGGGTTGCCAACTCTGGGTTGGGAAATACCTGTAGGTTTGAGGGGTAGAGCCTGGGGAGGGCAGGGTTTGGGGTGGGGTGGGACCTCAGCAGGGTATAATGCCATAGAGTCCACTGGCCAAAGCAGCCATAGTCTCCAGGAGAACTGATCTTGATCATCTTGACATCAGTTGTAGTAGGTGGGAAATTTTCTGTAGGGGAAATGATGTGCTGTGGCTGGGAAACACGGTGATTTCTAGGAGATTTCCAGGCCCCATAGGGAGATGGGGAATTTATTTTACCTCAGGACACATTCAGTGACACCCACAGAAACAGTAAACTGTTTAGAATGTTAGAGGCAAAGGCCAATCAGGCCGCATATGCGAATGACCAGTTTGGTGTAGTGGTTAAGTGTGCGGACTCTAATCTGGGAGAACCGAGTTTGATTCCCCACTCCTCCACTTGCACCTGCTTATGTGACCTTGGGTCAGTCACAAGCTCTGGCACAGCTGTCCTTGAAAAATAACAGTTTGTGTCAGAGTTCTCTCAGCCCCACCCACCTCACAGGGTGTCTGTTGTGGGGAGGGGAAGGGAAAGGAGTTTGTAAGTCGCTCTGAGAC